GCTTCAGGTGGCTGTTCAGTAAAGTAAGAAAAGGACTTAAGAGCAAGGTGGCTATGTTAGAGACAGTTTGATTACAAAAAGCAGAGTCCTTGTCAAGTTAAAAAAAAAAAGGCAAGGGGGCCTGGGTATGTTAGAAAGCATCAGTCTGTCATGGAAGCCACAGTCAGTGTCTCTGTCTGTTCAGGCTGCTATAACAGGATACGAGACTGGGTGGCTTATAAATGACAGAAATACATTTCTCTCAGTTGTGGAGGCAGGGAAGTCCAAGATCAAGGTGCCAGCAGATTCAGTGTCTGGTAAGGACCTGCTTTCTGGTTGACACTGTGGAAGGGGTGAGGGAACTCTCTTAGGCCTGTTTTATAAGGTCACTAATCCCATTTATGAGGTCTCTGCCCTCATGACCTAATCACCTCCCAAACGCCTCACCTCCTAATAACATCACATTGGGGGTTGTGTTTCAACATCTGAATTTTGGGGGGACACAAACATTCAGACCATAGCAGTCAGGAAGATAGCCAGGCCACTTGAGAGACCATGAGGCCAGTCCTTTCCTCTTTGGGACTGTGTGGCATTCGTCATAGCTTCTCTTTGTGAACTGCTTCCTTTCTCTTTCTCTGCTTTCTTGTGCATGTCCTGGAAAATGGATGCCCTGGTGCTGCCTTTCTGGTCTGAGCCCTCTAAAGCTGCCTGGAGCCCCTCTGTCCCAATTACAGCTCTAGGGCCTGAGGCTCTGGGTCAGGGGCCTCTGCCACAGCCTGAGAAGGTCACGTGACTTACTGCCTAAGAGTGGCAGCAGCAGAGGTGTGGGTGGCGCAGACTGATTGACGGCCACAAAGTGATGTTTTCTCAGTCTCTCTTTTTCATCAAGTGAGTATTGAGTTCCTTAACTTAATTTTCAGACAGTTATTGAATGGTACAATTCTGTTTATACTGAATTAAGGTAAATTTTTTCTCCTTTTCTTTGCAGTCCTGAAAAGCTTGTCTGTGCAGAAGAGAAATATCTGCCTGATAAAGAGAAAACGACTAGTGACCTAAGTCAGACTGTTTCTGAAAGGCAGTTTTATTCCTCGAAGCTTGGCCAGGAGTAAAAAGCATGAAAAGAAGAGTCTGGTGAGCAGAGATCTGGGGGGAACAGGGCTCGGATGGCAGAGTTGTGTAACATCCGACAGATAGCAAACAGAGTCCAGAATCCATTGACAAATCCCTTCCTCTCAGACAGACTCTGAGGGCAGAACAGGCAGTAGTAGCCAAAGAAGGGAGTGAGAAAGAGGAGGCAGAAGGAGGATTTATTTCATGCAGAAGAAGTGGTGGGGTCTCTTCTGGGCACCCTTTGGCAGGAGAGCCTTGGGTGAAGACGCTCAGAAAGGAGATTGTGGGACCCCGGACCCCACTTCTGGGGGACAGATTGTGCCCTTCATAAGGTGAGAGAAAACCTGGCCAGAGGGGATCTTCCCTCTAGGATATCCTCAGCTCTTTTTTTCTGAGTTTTTGCTCTCCTGCCATTTTCCTACCATTTACTGCTTATTACATCCAAACCAGACCAAAAATTTTGTTCTCCATAGTTTGGTCACAACAGGTGGGAATCTTTTGAAATGAAATTTATACTAAAAAATTAGTGCAAAATGATAGTTTATGTGAAGGGCCTTTACATGCAGGAAATTTCCATGCACAGATTTCCTACCCAGAGCTCACACCCTGGTTGGTACAGCTGACAGCTCACGGTCTATTTCCCCTTCCATCCTCTCTCCCACAACCTGTACCCTGAAGCCTGAGGGTTGGGACGCTTCTAGGGAGGGCTTCGGGCACTTGGTAGGTAGTAGCTTCCTGCCGTTCTGAGCGAACCGTAGATTTTTGCATCTCTTCTTTCACTCACCAGCCTGGCTGCTTCCCTCCACCACACACAAAGCGCGAGGGGCTGTCCTTTTCTCTAGCTTAAAAACCTTGTTAGATAGGTATTTTGTGACCCAACTCCTACCCAATCCCGTTGTTCTCCTGTCTGTCCAGAGAGAAACGGATGCCTCTCATGTGGTAAGTTACCTCTGAGCGTATTTCTGTCTGAGAGCACGGGGAGCCAGCCCCTCAGTCAGGTTTGAACGTGACTGTGGTCAGCCAGGCCCTTACGGTAGGGCAGCCTAACTGTTGCTCCCAAGAGATCAAAAAGTGGAGCGTGGGTTACGTACACTGGAAGTTTATTTTTTGCTCCTGTACCGGAGCCGGTGGGTCAGCAGGTTGGCAGGCTGTCCCTCTTTCATGCAGTCTTTAGGGCGCCTGGCTGTAGGAACATTTCTCATCTCCAGCACCTGGCTGCTAAGCTTGCCCCAGGAATTCATTCCTGTCAAACTGAAAAGGGAAGAGGTCATGGAGGACGTCTGGCCTGGGGGTGTAGGGGGGCCCCCAGGACCAAGTCACAAGGCGGCCCCTAACTGCAGGGGGCAGGGGGTGCTGGGAAGAGTAGTCCCTGCTGCTCAGAGCACAGTGGCAGGGAGAGCTGGCGTCTCATGGAGAGCTGGTCATCTCTCCCACACCACAGAAAGTTAGTGCTGTGTGGAGTCCAGAGACACGGGAAGCCCTGTCTGAGAGGTGCACACCCCAGATAGAGTGAGGGTAAGGTGAGGGGAGGGCTGGCTGGGAAGCTGCCCGGAAGATGAGTGTCAGTTGGAATCAGCCGGGAAGTTCCTCCCTGTCTCGTGAGCCCCTCTTCCCCACCCTACACTCAGCTCTTCTGTCAATAGGTTTTAGGAACCAGACGGCACAGACCCAGATCCTGGGTAGGTGGGGAAGGCCAGCAGAGGCAGAGGTCACAGCCCGTGGAAAGAAGAGTGATGACAGCAGAGGTCCTGGGCCCCCGGAACTGTGCCCCATAAGGGGCCATTTGTAACAAAGCTTTGCTGACCTTTACTTTGCAGTGTCTCTACAACAGTTAAAACGTTGCCAACATTTTTTCTCTCCAGAAATGGAAAAACAGAAGAAAGAAATAGAAGATCAGTTTGCTTTGCTCAATGCAGCTCAGCCTGACCAGCCAGACTTTCCCTAAATTGAGGAATATCCGAATAATAAGTTACTGTTTATTGAGCTCTCCTTGTGAATCGGGAACTGCGTGAGGTACTGTGTATTCATTTAAAAAATTTCCCAGCAAGGTAGTATTATCACCTTCCATTACACAAAGCTCAGAGGTTTGCTAACTCGCTCCAGGTCAGCTGCACGGTTTGAAAGTGGCGGTGTTCTCTATCCCACGTCCAGTCCCTCTGGTGCCAAAGCACATGGTCATTCACCAGGGTACTCGATCTCCTCGAAGCCACTCTGACTTTGTGATGTTAGACTGCTCAGAATTTGGGTCCCCTTTCAGAGCGTGGAGCTGTCCGGCGTGCCCGCCTGGGCACCCTGATCCTGAAGAGCACAGGAGGGGCTTGCTGGGCTCTCCTCCAGCCACTCAGTCTTTCCCCTGGAGGGGTAGGTAGTGTAAGGTAGTCCCTTCCTCGCCCTTCAGAAAATCAGGCTACCGTTTTTGTCAGGAGAGGATGTGACTTCTTAAGGAGCAGTGCCATGTTCCTCCATCAAAGGGGGTGACTGGAGTTGCTGGAAGTACTGCCATTAACTATCCTCTGTAACTTCATAGTTGTCTGACTCACCTCTTGCAGGCTCCTCTGTCCTGAGTCCCACAAGAATGCTAACATATCTAGACATGGAGACATGGCACTAGCCACAGTTCATCCCAGTGAGGAAGTCCCACAGTCCCAGGAAAGGATTATCCTATAGCTATGGTCACAGGTAATCCCAGGACTGGTTTTAAGCCTGCCTGACATCAGTGGCAGCTGTATGCTTTGAAAGTCAGCTGGTCAGAGGCAGACTTGTGAACATCAGCCCACACCTGCCTCCATAACCAACACAGCTCGAGTCTCAGAACCCTGTAGAAGATCAGCAGTTTGCTTTGCTCAGTGCGGCTGAGCCTGAGCAGCCAGACTTTCCCTAAATTGAGCAACATTCTTAATTGTCTGGGTTCAGATATTGAGCGTCTCTTCCTTTGACACTGGGGCGTATTCCTTTTAGGTCTGTGTTTTAGCCCATCAGTGCCCAGGATCAATACCTGGAATGATGGATTTTTTTTCCTTGAATATTCTGAATTGTTTTCCAGTTTTTCTTTGTCCAGTGATTATGTTTAGGCAGAAACAGGGGCTATGGTGTGGGGACATTTGAATCCTTCCTTATAGCTGCTAGAGAACACCTGCTCCCTGAGAAATCAGGGCTTCTGTAGCCTGTGTGATTCGTTCCAAAAGGCAGATCTTTTCCCAGTTGTACTCATTAACCCAGGGATTTAGTGTGTAAGAAAGACCTTATTTTTATCAGTGTTCAAGACAGAGTTCACATTTCAAAATCCAGAGGCTAAGTAAACAGCTCTGACAGGTGTGGATGTGTCTCTGACAGCATGGGGGCAGGGGGAGGGAGACAGGTGCTTCTGGAGCTGGAGGGGCTGAGGGACCTGCTGATGATTTTTAATACTTGTGCATTTTCTTCATGGCTAAGTTACCCCTGAGGGTTTACTCAGCTAGGCAAACAGAGGCACTCAAAAGGGAACGCTCTAGCTCCCACAGAGATCATCCATTCTAGCCATCAAAGAAACCAAGCCCCAGAAACAGTAGGTAAAGTGACCAGAGTCACAGAGCAAGTCAATGGCAGTCAAGACGAGGCTCTGGGGTCTCCTGACTGACTACTCCCCCGCCACATTCTGTCCTGATTCATTACAAGCAGCCCCTGAAATTACCTTTTAAAAGCCTTTCACATAGAAAGTAAATCAGTCAGGCTTTGAAGTTACATTCATAAACTTATATTTTTATTCTCTTTCTGTACATATTGGCAATGATAAAGCTTAAAGATGCATGTCCTATGACATATGCAAAAACAAGGAATTTACATAAATAATTTATACTTCAGAAAATTAACGTTGAAAAATATTTTCTGCATCATTAGAGTTCACAGTATTTAAAGTAAATCAAGCTTTCCCCCTTAGATTTCAAACTATATTGTCTCAGCAGAGAATGATAAAATCTAATCAGGAATAAAATGATCAAGTTTCTGTTTTTATTCAGTGCACAAGTGGACACTATTTCCGTAATCAGGCTGTTCCCACGCTGAGGCTGCATTTCTTCCCAGTCCTTCACCTCCTGAGTGGCTGTGACCCAGCGGAGGTCACGTGGTGTGAAATGGTTACAGCGTCACCCAAACCACCCACAGTGGACACATTCAACCAAGTGGTAACGTCTGGTGGTCTGATGCCTCATTTCCACATAATACTTTTTATAGCCCTGAAAATGGAAATCCTGGCATCTAAACACAGCCGAACATGTTAACACTAATACAAGGCACTGTGCTATGGGGTTTGGTTTATTTATAGGGAAGGTCATGTTTGCATAGATTGCTAGCGATTTAGTGTGCGATAAAATAGAGGCCCCAGCATGCGTGGCCTTGTGATGGATGAAGCGGCGCGACGCTCCGCCAGCTCAGGGGCAGCACCGGCTATCTTCTCCAGCCCCAGCCTGGTGGGCAGATCCCTAAGGCCCCTACAGGAGAGTTTTTTGCTCAAAAAGCTGCAGGTCAAAGCGCACCCAGACCTCCCCAGTGGGGACCTCATGCAGCAGCAGTCGGCGGGTTGTAGGGCCTTTGCTTTCCTGTTCTGTTCGAATTTTTGCCACTGGAACTTCAGTGCGACCCAGGAAATCTGGTGAATAGACAAGTGAGAGTCAAAAGTCTTCTTTAAAAAACTGTTAAAAAACTATCACAGAAGGAGTGTCTGAAACAGGATTCATAAAACTTTCAAATTCAAAACAAGTAACTTCTTTTGGTTAATGGCCGTTGGATACTGTGAATGGATGGATGCATGCAGAACAAGGGATTTGTGTGAGGGAAACTCAAACTGCTGGGAATCCAAGCCTCTTTGGTCAGGGAGTGGCTCACCCATTCAGTAGGTGCCAGGAGCACAGCGTTTCCATTAGGTAAGCAGGGGTGACTGGGGTCAAAGACCTGAAACACACCTGAGGCCACCCCCCCTTTCCCCTGAGAAGGTATCCCACCTGCAGCCACTGAGAGCTGCTGAGGACCATGGCCTGTGTCACTGCCCTTAGGTGTCTTGGGGTAAAAACAAGGCTGAGCACCCGGCTTCCAGACCCCAGATCCTAGAGTATGGGGGAAACTTCATATCCCCGCCCCCACCCCCCGGAGTTATACTTTACCATCTGGTGAAAACTGGTCTCTGTCGAACATGGTAAGACACAGCACATCCTGATAAAGATCCTTAATAAAGAACTGGCAGTTAAAATTCCACTTGGGATTTAGTGTGTCCTGAAGGGTTCTGGTGGTGTAGCTCTGGGAGCCCATGCTGATTTCACAGTATGGATTGCTCTTTCCTGAACAAAAACAAACCAGTATACATGTGGCATGTGACAAGAGGGCCTTCTTCGAGCAGAAGCAGGATCTACACAGATGTTTCTCTATAGACCACGGCCGCAGGGGTCACTGCCTGAGGGTCTGCATCTGCCTTGTGGTCTCTGTTCCCAGTGCTGACAGCATCATAAACCTGGGGAGGGACTGTGGGCGCGAATGCCAGGGCTGCTCCCTATGAGCATGTGTCAGTGCAGCTTGCTTCCTGCCTTCTCTACTCAGAAGCACTGAGGAAGGAGGCATCGGTATTTATTGGGAAACTAGAGTGATAATAATTTTGGTCCAATAACCATTTTAGTGGCACTGGAAATACTGACTTTTAAAAAGTGTCCCGTTATTCAATGTTCAGAAGAGTTATCAGCAAAGAGCAGGGTAGTTACCACACCAGTTGAATGAAAGAAGCATTTACCATTTGGTTTACAGGCTTTTAGTTCTGTAGCTTCAATGACATGCACCATCAGACGCCCGATGCCTGAAGACTTTTGAGAGCGAGCTACAAAAGAGGAAGAGTAGTGATGTTAATTTCTTCTCTCAGAATGCAGACAGCAGAGTGATGACGCTAAGCTGTAGATAGTTTTGTCTTTCTGACCAACCCCAGCACTCCCCAGCCTCACGTGCCACTGAACTGGGCCTGGCAGCATCTGGCTGCTCTGTGACTTTGCCCAGGCTGTGTCGCCTGCTAGGGTACCTCGCCACCATCTCTGCCCATCAGCATCCTACACATCCTTCAACATGCAGGTCCAATCTCACCTCCTGGATCCCTTCCCTCCTCTGTGCATCCCACAGCCTGCTGGGTCTGAACTTCTGTTGTCAGTCCATCCCCTCTGTCAGGAGGGGCCATGGCAGAGCACAGACTGTTTATTCATCCTTGTGTTAACCCCTCAACTGCCTAGCAAGTAGTAATAGTAATAACATCACCATACATTATATTCATTCAGCACTTAAAAGCAGCTAACATTTATTGGATACTTACTTTGTGTTAGGCATGTGATCGACTTTTACATGTTATAATACTTAAACTGCACATTTACAACGTAGCTCTTTATAACTGCCATTGTCATGTATGAGAAAACTGAGTCTTAGAAATGACTATAACGTGCTTATGTCACAGAGCTTCTAAAACGGCAAGGTCAAAACACATCAGATACCAAAGTCCACTTTCTTTTTTTAGAATTTATTTTTAATTATTATTTTTTTTGGCTGTGCTGCGTGGCATGTGGGATCTTAGTTCCCCAACCAGGGATTGAACCCGTGCCCCCTGCAGTGCAAGTGGACTGGACCACCAGGGAAGCCCTCAAAGTCTACTTTCTTAACCACTCACCATAATTCCAATTACATGTAAACACTTTAGCTTATAAACTTTTACTTAAGACCTTATTTTAGGAGGTACTCAGAAACACTTTTAATATGGAGAGAAATGAGTTAGTGAACTCAGATTATCTTGGTAACTATAAAGTTAGTTAAGCAGGGTTTGCCCTTAGGGGTTTAAAAACTAACAAAAGCTGCTTGGTGAGCTACTGACTTTTCAAAGCTCAGGGCAAGTAGAACCTTCTCTGTGAGAAGTGGCCCACCCCTCCTATGTGCCCACCCGCCCAGCAGGCACTGGCATTCAGTTCCCCTTGAAGGCAGGGCTGGGCCATATTCATTTTGTAGGCCCAGTTAAGCCTAGCACAGGGCCTGGCACAGAGTTAAGTAATAAAGGTCTAAAGAATGGAACACGTGGAAAGTGCATAACAATATGTACAGATAATGGTGTAAAGAAAAACTTCGATTTATCTTCGACCAATTAAGAGATCATTATATGCTTTCTGAAAAGATTCAATCATTGATTTTTCAATAACATGCCTTTAAAGTACCATTAAAATAAGATTCAATTAGCAAAAGCCGATTTACATATACCTTTCAGGAGTATATAACAAAATAAGGGAAACCTGAATAAAAAAACATAAAGAGCTGCAACTCCAGCAGCCAGGAACCTAAGTGGGAGGACTTAGGGAGGGGCCTTGTGCCAGAGCCTGGTGGGAGACTGGAGGGTCTTAATAGGGCTGTGCCACCAGGAGAGGACAGGGCTATGCAAATGGGGAAGAGAACCACGGAGAGAATCTATGCGGGACTCTGCAACTGTCTAGAGATGCAGGGGGATGGGGATGGTCAGAGAGCACATTTCCAGTGTGCGCCCAAGGACAATACTACCGGCCACTGAGATTATCGGGAGGAGCTACTTCTGGAAGGAGGTTAATCCAACAGGAGGAGTGGTGCAGGTGTTTCTGGAGAGCAGGGGCTGCAGGGACAGCAGGCCAGCCGTGACCACTGAAGCTGGGGTGACACGAGGGAGGGAGGCTCAGAACTCTTGGGGTAGGGTGGGAGGAAGCAGAGCTAGGAAGGAGATGATGAAAGAAGATCTGATGGTACAAGGACCCTCAGGGGTGTCATGAGGTCCGGGGGAGGGAGGGGCCTCAATTTCCTGCTGTTGGGGAAAGCGAGCCAAGTTGTTGGGGGTGGTCACTGACGTCGTGTGAGCAAGCCATTCGCACAGATTGATGGGACAGCAAGCGGAGTGAAAGGCTCTGAGTGTAGGGTCCCGAACCCAGTGCTGGGAGGAGGCTGGCTGGACCTGGAGGAGGGGTGGGGTAGAGGCTGGGTGGGGGAGGAGCAGAGGGGAAACGGGCTGTAGAAGTGAAGTTTGATGGAGCAAAATGGACCAAGCAGAGGCAGGGCTGGTTATGCAAAGGACAGACCCCTCTTCCTGGAAACAGGAGTGAAGAGTGTGTGTGGGGAGGAGGGACAGAGACCTTGCCACAGAGAGAAGGGAGGTCCCAGGGCTCGCACTGGATGACCCCCGTCTATGTAGGGGACAGTGGGGGGGGGGCTCAGGGAGGCCCCCAGGAGGTTTGAAACGGCTGTGGGAGGCCGAGCGGGCTCTGCCGAGCTCGCCCGCGGCAAGTCTGGTCTTTCAGGCTGTCCCTGTTTATCCCCTCACTGCAGGAGCAGCAGCCTGTGCCCTGAAGCTGGGACCCCGCCCAGTGCCCAGGGTCCCCTGGTGGCTGGTTCCAACCCTCTCAGGCACCGCCCCCCCCCCCCACACTACCTTGATAAGCCTTCTCCCGTTTCTTCTTTTCGGTGTCGATGTACTGCTCAGATGCCGCCTTGATCTTCTGGACCCAGGCCGTCCTGGAGGAGAAGCAGAGTGCCATCGGGCAGACTTCGCACACGGCTCACAGGTCCACCAGGAGCCCCAGAGCTCTGTGCTTGCTAACCTTGGCTTTGAGAAGTTCCCAATCATAGACTTCACAGTAACTCAACTGAAGAACTTGTTTGCTAATTGAGGATCAAGCTGAGAATTTCTAGAAAGTTCTTGACGGCACCAAGCACTTGTCAGGTGCTGGGCGCACAGAGATGGAAGATGCAATGGCAGCTCAGCACGACAAATGACAGGTTCTATTGCAGAGAGCTGTGCACGCAGCGGAGGAGGAGCTACACCCAGAGGACAGGACGCGTAGCTGGCCAGGCAGGGAGGGAAGAAGGCACCCATGCAGAGGGCAGTGGGGGAGGGCAGACAATCCGGCGGGAGTGCAGGGATGGGACTGAGACCCAGAGGCACAGGACAGCCTCAGAGAGCAGGCGAAGGAGCACAGACTGTCCCTGAGGGATTGCAGTAGGAAGTGAGGTGTTAGCTCTCCCACTTCGGAAGATCCCGAGGAGAGGCTGGAAGCAGGAAAGTGTGTTAGAGGCGTTTGCGGTAACCTGGCACGTCTAAACCAAGGCCTGCCAGTGGGACTGTGGTGGAGGAGGAATTAGTAGGGCGTGAGCATGGGCTGGAGGTGGGTTTATGGTGGAGGGAGAGGTCAGGCTTTCTCCTAGGCCTCAAGGCAGGTCACACGTGGTCAGGACTGACCTCTCATTAATGTTGTCTGTTCGGAGGGTGTAGACCCGGTCAATGTGAGAAATGTGGAAGACAGGCTCATCGCTGGAAGGGTCTGTGGGCAGTTTCACCAAGGCTTCATTCAGGAAAATGGGCTGAAAGAATTAGGGCCAAAACACAGGCTGTGAAATGGGTCAGAACACTCCACCCTCCTACGTCCAGAATTGTCTGTTCTGAAGAGCCTTGTTGAGAAGTAGAGGGGTCTAGCTTCCAGAGTCCTTTACTTAGGAGAAAAGAAACTGCCTCTGTGTCATGAAAGTAAATATCTAGGGTAGATCAGATGTTACTAAAGTGGGGACAGGAGCACCGAGTGTCTTTGACAGCTCACGTGACAGGGTCTCTCCTCCAGGCACTGACACTTGACCCTTCCCGTCAGCCTTGGTTTTACGGAGAGACCCGATGCTGAATGTGGACGGAGGTGGGATCACACATCGTGTTTGCTGCGAAGGAAGCTGGAATCCATAGCTGGAATCCAGCTGGTGGCTGTCAGAGGGCAGTGAAGGCCCAGCCACACTAGGCTTCTTCCCTGGGAAGTGACAAAGGAAGCGTGAGCCGTCTGGAGGCAGGTGAAGAGAGTCCCATGAGGACAGGAAAGGCTCAGGCTGGGAAGGAGGTCCTTAAAGTAAAGGAAACACCTCGTTGTGCTCTTGATGCTACTGCCAGGAATGTGACACTTACCATTTTATACATTTTGAATTGAACATTGGACTTAGAGCTGAAAAGTTTCTCGGAGCCCGAGGAAACAGCAAACTGCTTGACCATGTAGGTGAGAAGCAGGAAGTCATTGAAGAGGAACCCGTGCAGCTCCTTGTTGCTCTTGGTCTTGTACAGCTTTCCGCTGTGCAGGAGCTTGCGGGGTCCCAGGCAGTTGGTGAGGGAGTTGAAAACAAGTTGCTTAAAGAGAAAGAAACTGTCACTTTGTAACTCCCAGCACCCCTGGCGAGGCCAGCGCCCTGGACCTGAGGGAGGTGCGGTAGACCTTCTAGGTGGGAGTGTGGCTGTAATCATTCACTTTTGCACAGAAGATCCTTACATTTATTTCTCTTCAAAGTTCAAACTGGCATAGTGAAAATAATTACTTACAAAACCACAGAATACTGATTCTCCCGGCTGAATTCAAAGAACTCAAAACATCTCTCTTTATGAGAAAGGAAGATGACAACCCAAGAATGGGCAGGAGGGTGAGTCTGCATGGGCTGAGCTGAGGCACACACTGTCTACACTAGGGGAAGGCACGAACCTGGCTCCCCACCCAGAGCCTGCCTGGCGGCACCCAGCTCAGCCCCACAGGCCTCACCTCCGCGAGACCTTCACACTGCACGTGAGTCTGGATCCACTCCAGTCGGTCTGAATTTTCCTTCTCCCGAACTCCTTCATTAACTTGCGAGCAGAGCTCCTCTGCCCGCTCGAGGGCCAGCTTCAGAGGGGAGTGGTCTACGTGATTTTCTGGGGTGTTCTCCAGAATCTGGAAGAGAGGGGGCTGTGTCATGTGGGATGTCTTACGTCTTCCACCTGCCCTGCCATCCGGGTGCTGGGCGCTGGAAATACAATAGTGGGCAAGACAGTCATTTACCCTTGAGAGGCTCAGGGCCCCCGAGTACTCGGGGAGACAGGTGACTCAGTGACAAGAGGGTGGGCCAAGCGCTACATGGACCAAGTGCCCTGTGGGTCTCTGGTGGCCCTCTAGCTGGGTCTGGGGATAGGCTGTATGTGTAAGGGTGCGTCCCTACTTCCCCCAGTAACAAGCCATGTGCCTTTAGGGTGAACCCTCCAGTATAAACTGCCTGCGCCTTTGGTAAGTATGTTAACTTGCTGAATAGCAACATTTCATTATATTTTGGGGGTCACTGATCCTTCTGAGAAATCTGCTGAAAGCAATGAATCCCCTGCCACGGAAAAAACACAATAAAACCATGTTGTCAGCATGTAGGAAAATGCATTCATTTCACTGAGAAGTGACTTCACGCTAATGTTCCAAAGGTAAAGGGATAGAGAATGCAAATTTGTGTGGTCCCTCTGGAAATTAGCGGGCCCATCAGTAGACGACTCCTGTGCTTCATTTATAGTTCCAAGATATGAAAAAGCTCTGGAAGCCTAAAGCTGTTTTCATTACTCATTTAGTGGCAAAACTTGACCTGAACTGAAGAGATGAACTTTTTATGTCTACTTATAGTGATTATTCATGAATTTCTCTGTAGGACTATTAATGTGTTGCTTATCGGTGCTGCCCAGGCTTGTTGGGGTGTCATGTAATATACAGCATTTGAATTACATTCTGAATTCTGAAACACATCTGGCCCCAAATATTTCAGGTAAGGGACTGTGGATTAATGTATATTAACGGGTCCATTTGGTATCAGAACTGTGACATTAATTCTGTAACATAAGGTCTATATTGAGTTAACATGGCTTACAAACCGGAGATCAAGGCATAATAAAAGCAACAGTCTTATATTATTTCTACTGTTTTTCTTTGTAAGATGATTAAAATTACCTCAATGATTACCTGTGGAATAATCCTTTGAAAGTCTGCCTTCTCCTTAGAAGGCGTATCAGCTCGAGAGGCCAACATTGTTTGTGTCAAAAAGATGAATGGAATTTTAGAGGGACTGTGTAGTCAGCCAGCTGAGGTAGGATACAGCCAGGGGACGATGATGAGCTGTCTAGGACACTGAGTTGGAGACTGCTGGGACGTCTAGGTTACACATTCAGTTGGTAGATGAATTCAGATCTCAGCAGGAAGACTGGACCCCAAGGTCATACTAACTGTGGACTCTTTCCACAGCTGGAGACCTCTAGAGGGCGTTGCCCTGCCTAGACAAAATACACTCATGACCCCGAGAGGCCAGGGAGCTTCCTGGGAAGGGGGAGGACAGGTAACCCAAATGACCATGGATACCTCTTTTATTTGCCCACTTCAAGGATTTATCCTTTCAGACTGCATGTGTGTCCATGGGCGTGTGCGCGCGCACACACACACGGTGCCTGGTCCACCAGACAGTATAGTCGGACCACGTGGTGGGTGGCTGGTGTATCTGGAGGCTCCCTATCAGCCTCTGTGAACCTCAAAGGGTCCTGCTTCTCCCAGCTGGGCACTTACACTTCTGATGAGGAGGGGGTAGCGGGTGATCCTCTGCATGGGCTTCAGCAGGAAGCTGGAAAGGGGCATTCCTTTACATCGAGGGTCAGATGCCAGCCTCTGCAAAATAATTGAGAGGCTTGTGAGGAAATCATAGCCTGAGGAAAACAAGGAAACATTGGCTATTCTCCTGACTTTGACCACCTTTTAGATTTCTAACTTCTTTTAAAAACTCAGGATCCAAAATGATACGTATCAGGTTAACAGCAGGAATATCCCACTTCATGCGCCAAAGCCAGTGGATGCTTTCAGTTCTTTCTTAGGTGCGTCTGACAGCCTGTGCGATCCCTCCCTCCCATTGCTTCCGGAACCAGACTGTCTTCCCAGCCCACTGACCCTCTAAGTCTTCCTCACTCCTTTCCTCTCCTCTGCCCAAGATCCCACACGACTGAGCCCCACAGTGTGACCAGACCAGCTGTGGAGCTCTACACTTGCCAAATTACTCTCCATCTCACCTGGATGTCCCAAAGGCACCTCAATACCTCAGCATACCCGAAGTGAAGTCCTCGTCTTCCCTCATAAAAGCATCCTCTTCTACCCCTATTCCTATCAGAGTTGGTAGCACCATTCTTCACCCACTCACCTTCCCCCGCACATACCTAGGAGTTACCACTGATGCCAGTCTGTCTTCTAAGTAGCTCTTGATCTCCCCCATCTCTGCCTGCTCATCACCCTGCTTCATTCATAACAATACATTTACTGAGCACCTGCTATGAGCCAGGCTCACAATGTCCTTTCTGCTCTTCCTTCACTTGGCTAATTCATATCCATCTCTGAAGACTCAGATTAGCCTCCTCCAGTCCAGGCTCTCCCCTTCTTCATGCCTCCCCTCCTTTTCAGTGATCCTTCTCAAGCCCCCGAGGCTTCCTTTATCATCATGCCACATCTGGACTGGGTAACACAGGTAGAGGCATCACATAGGAGGTGTCTCTATAACTCCCACCCAGACTGTTAACTCCAGGATGCCAAGGACCACATTTATTTGCTTCTACTCCTAGGACTAGTACAGGACCTAACAGAGTAGCTAGTACTCTAGTATGATCATTTTAAGGACTGAAAAATAATACATTTACTATAATTTACCTAATCATTTCCCACTATGGGATATTAAAATTACCCCCTCCTTTTGTTTTTGGAGATATATATGTATGTTTCTAAGATAAGCATCTTCATGGTATTTATTTCTATATTTTGAGTCTTTTTAAAAAGTAACATTTTAGAACACAGCTTGTTAGATCTGCTTTTTAGTGTAATCAACACCACGCCTTTCATTATGAGACTAAACACTTTTTATTTTTGCTATTGTTACAATTGTGGTGACACTGTCATCCTATTTACATCCTATTTTTTTAATTCCTATTTTTATCACTATTAGAAAAAATTTTAAATCTTTTACTATGCTTTAGAAGGTAAATGTCCTATATTTAATTCTACTATTATTTTAAAATGTTCACATATACTCATAATTCCACATTTATGTAATTATTCTGATTAATGTTTGTTTCTGTGATCTTGGTTTCTTTCTATGTTTCTTCTAGTTCATTTCTAGGCAACACCTTGCCTCCCACCAACTGAAGGGTTCTGTCCTCAGTGCCTTATACTGAACCATTTTTACATCCCTGAGATCATCATAAGCTAAATAAATAAAATTAGCATTTATTGAATGCTTACTATGTGCTGGTCTCTGTGCTAAAGTACTTTAAATGTATTATCTGATTATCTCCAGGTGAGAGATGAGGGGACTTAAGGCACCAAATGTTAAGAAACTTGCCCTGGTCACACAGTGGACCATGATGGGGCTGGAATTTCAGCCCGAGCAGTCCAGTTCTGAAGGCTGTCTTGTTCTGAGCATGAAACTGTGTTGCCTCTTGGAATTGATCCTATTTGGTTATGACAGACTCTTCTTTTCATGTAATGCTTAATTTTATTCACTGTTATTTTAATTAAGATTTTAACAACTATATTTATATAAAAGATATTGGGTTATAACTTTTTTTTTATTTTTGTAATTAAACACAAATACAAAAATGGGCCTTGGCATTAGAGTCACTTTTGTCTTATATAATGAATTAGGTAGGCTTTCTATTTTTTTCTGGGATCTGTTAACAGTTTATATAAAATAGAATAATCTATTCCTTTATTGTTGTAAAGAATTCACCATTAAATCCATCAAGTGAAACTATCTCCTTTTTTGGGATAGGTTACTCAGTTTTTTCGCTTGTTTAATATTATCTTCAGATTTTCTTTTTTTTTTTTTTAACATCTTTATTGGAGTATAGTTAACTTTACAATGTTGTGTTAGTTTCTGCTGTATAACAAAGTGAATCAGCTATATGTATACATATATCCCCATGTCTCCTCCCTCTTGTGTCTCCCTCCCACCCTCCCTATCCCACCCCTCTAGGTGGTCACAAAGCACAGAGCTGATCTCCCTGTGCTATGCAGCTGCGTCCCACTAGCTATCTATTTTACATTTGGTAGTGTATATATGTCCATGCCACTCTCTCACTTTGTCCCAGCTTCCCCTTCCCCTTCCCACGTGCTCAAGTCCATTATCTACGTCTGTGTCTTTATTCCTGTCCTGCCCCTAGGTTTGTCAGAACCATTTTTGTTTTTTTAGATTCCATATTATGTGTTAGCATACAGTATTTGTTTTTCTGACTTACTTCACTCTGTATGACAGGCTCTAGGTCCATCCATCTCACCACAAAATAGCTCAATTTCATTTTTTTTTTTTTTTTTTTGCGGTACACGGGCCTCTTACAGTTGTGGCCTCTCCCGCTGCGGAGCACAGGCTCCAGACGCGCAGGCTCAGCGGCCATGGCTCCTGGGCCCAGCTGCTCCGTGGTATGTGGGATCTTCCCGGACCGGGGCACGAACCTGTGCCTCCTGCATCGGCAGGCGGACTCTCAACCACTGCGCCACCAGGGAAGCCCCTTTTTCATTTCTAATTCTGTTGATTTGAGTCTTCTCCCTTTTTTTCTTGATGAGTCTGGCTAATGGTTTATCAATTATGTTTATCTTCCCAAAGAACCAGCTTTTAGTTTTATTGATCTTTGCTACTGTTTCCTTCATTTCTTTTTCATTGATTTCTGATCTGAGCTTTATGATTTCTTTCCTTCTGCTAACTTTGGGATTTTTTTGTTGTTCTTCTTAGGTGTAAGGTTAGGTTGTTCATTTGAGATTTTTCTTTTTTCTTGAGGTAGGATTGTATTGCTATAAACTTCCCTCTTAGAACTGCTTTTGCTGCATCCCATAGGTTTTGGGTCATCGAGTTTTCACTGTCATTTGTTTCTAGGTAATTTTTTTTTTTGAAGTAAAGAAAAGGGTGGAATTTAATCTTTATTTACAGGACACTGCAAGATATGAAATCCCACATAGAAATAAGAAACCCATTGAGAGGAGAAGCTTCATACAGTATGTACAGCTTGGAACTGTTCAAGCATAGTTTCTTTGTAAAAAGTGCTACAATAACAAACCACATGTAAAAAGAGTTCTTAGTAGAGAAACAGTAAGAGAAACTTCTGCCAAACATAGTACACAACAAACAACTTTATGCCTCAGAGGTACAATCTAAAAGCTGAAGGTCCCAGCAGTGCCATCCTGAACTTGGAATGTATACACTTCAGAGGTAGTTTCTGGCACAATTTTGATCTTCCTCTTCTTCCACAGAGAAATACTTCTCAATCAAATTTAATGAAGCTTTGTACACAGACTCATTTTCATGGTTTTGTAGAGCTTCAATTTTGTCCAAACCTCCACATTCTTCAATCATTATATTAAGTTTCTCAGTTTCACCTAGTTTCTCAGCAGCCTGAAAGATATTTGAAATGGCATCCAGGATAACCAGAATAATTCTGTTGCCTTTTGCAGTTAGGAGGTTCATCAATGGTTCTATTATGCCACAATGAACAAGGTATACGATCTGCTCAACTGTTCCGCCACTTGTATAGTTGGTCACAGCCCATACAGCTTCCTTTTGTGTCTTAAAGTCTGCCTTAGAAAGAATGCCAACAAGGAATGGGACTAATCCATGATTTACAACTCGTTATATCTTGTCCTGGCAGCCAGCCGTGATGTTTGATATTGTCCACATAGCTTCCTTCTGAATATTAGTTTTGGAGTTTGTTAGCAGGCTGGGAAAGATGGCAAGTGCTCCTGCATCCATTACAACCTGAGTCTGTTCATCTGTCCCAGTGACAATATTCCCTATGGCTCTTAGCGTGGGAATCACAATTGGCAATTCAGTAGCTCCTAAAAGCTTCACAAGTGGGGGTACAACCCCAGTTTTCACAACCATTTCAATCCATTCATTTGGACCATTGGTAAGGTAGGAAATAGCCCAGCAGGTATCAGCTAAAACTTCTGGATCATCGTGATGCAGGAGATGAACTAAAGTAGGAAGAATTTGCTCAACAGCATCTAAGGGGATGTGCAGGATTCTTGTTGTGACAAAGATTTGAAAGTGTCCAGGTAAGATTATGTAAGTAACCACATGCTAAAAATGACGTATCAGGAACCGCCAAAAGTGCCAACAGTGGGTCAACTGCACCATACTTGATAACCAAGTCTCGGAAAACTGAGCCATCACCTGCAATGTTTCCTAGAGCCCATACAGCTTGTTCACTGAAGTAAGCATGGGGAGATGCCAACAGAGAAATGAATGCTGGGATAGCACCTCCATCTACCACAGCCTTGGTCTGTTCTGATGTCCTGGAAGCAATGTTAGTGAGGCCCAAGCAGATTCAAACTGAATGGGACTGCAATCAGTTCTGCCCAAGAAGGACACAATTTTGGAATCAAACCAGCCCAGATTATGCTGTCTGTGGGGGGCTGTTTTTCCCTAGAAAGCAGTTTCCTAGCAGCTTGAGTAGCTTGGAGCTGGCTTTCCAAATTGTTGCTATTTATGCCTTTGACAATGTCATCAACAGACCAATTTACAGTGCCCTGGTTGTTGTGGTTTTCCTGCAGTGGAGAAGCAGCATCATCTGGAAAAGAGCTGACGTTTCTCCTTTTCAGCATCTGGTCATACTTCTTAGCTTTCCGGAACTCCACATTAACCTCTATTCAGTGCTGCCTCATTTCTGTACTGTCTTTCCCCTTGTTCTTGAATCTGTTAAGGCGGGCAGCTGGTGAATTAGAATTCGCATTGGTGGACATGGTTATGAGACAAAGGGAGAAAGCTACACGGCTGGCTCAAGCTTCCACAGGAAGTGGTGCGGGGCACACAGGTTGCGGATCAGCTGCCCTCAAAATGTCCACCATGGTCAGCCTGAGGATGGTGTTTCTAGGTAGTTTTTGATTTCTTCAGTGATCTCTTGGTTATTTAGTAGCGTATTGTTTAGCCTCCACGTGTTTGTATTTTTTACAGATTTTTTTCCTGTAATTGATATCTAGTCTCATAGCATCGTGGCTGGAAAAGATACTTGATACGATTTCAATTTTCTTAAATTTACCAAGGCTTGATTTGTGACCCAAGATATGATCTATCCTGGAGAATGTTCCATGAGCACTTGAGAAGAAAGTGTATTCTGTTGTTTTTGGAGGGAATATCCTATAAATATCAATTGAGTCCATCTTGTCTAATGTGTCATTTAAAGTTTGTGTTTCCTTATTTATTTTCATTTTGGATGATCTGTCCATTGGTGAAAGTGGGGTGTTAAATCCCCTACTATTATTGTGTTACTGTCGATTTCCCCTTTTATGGCTTTTAGCATTTGCCTTATGTATTGAGGTGCTCCTATGTTGGGTGCATAAATATGTACAATTGTATCTTCTTCTTGGATTGATCCCTTGATCATTATGTAGTGTCCTTCTTTGTCTCTTGTAATAGTTTTTATTTTAAAGTCTATTTTATCTGATATAAGAACTGCTACTCCAGCTTTCTTTCGATTCCCATTTGCATGGAATATCTTTTTCCATCCCAGACTTTCAGTCTGTATGTATCCCTAGGTCTGAAGTGGGTCTCTTGTAGACAGCATATATATGGGTCTTGTTTTTGTATCCATTCAGCCAGTCTACGTCTTTTGGTTGGAGCATTTAATCCATTTACATTTAACATCATTATCAATATGTATGTTCCTATTACCATTTTCTTAATTGTTTTGGGTTTGTTTTTGTAGGTTTTTTCCTTCTCTTGTGTTCCCTCCCTAGAGAAGTTCCTTTAGCATTTGTTGTAAATCTGGTTTGGTGGTGCTGAATTCTCTTAACTTTTGCTTGTCTGTAAAGGTTTTAATTTCTCCGTCGAATCTGAATGAGAGCCTTACTGGATAGAGTAAGCTTGGTTGTAGGTTTTTCCCTTTCATCACTTTAAATATGTCCTGTCGCTCCCTTCTGGCTTGCAGAGTTTCTGCTGAAAGATCAGTTGTTAACCTTATGGGGATTCCCTTGTTTGTTATTTGTTGCTTTTCCCTTGCTGCTTTTAATATTTTTTCTTTGTATTTAAGTTTTGATAGTTTGATTAATATGTGTCTTGGCATGTTTCTCCTTGGATTTATCCTGTATGGGACTCTGCACTTCCTGGACTTGACTATTTCCTTTCCCTTATTAGGGAAGTTTTCAACTATAATCTCTTCAAATATTTTCTCAGACCCTTTCTTTTTCTCTTCTTCTTCTGGGACCCCTATAATTTGAATGTTGGTGCGTTTCATGTTGCCCCAGAGGTCTCTGAGACTGTCCTCAATTCTTTTCATTCTTTTTTCTTTATTCTGCTCTGCGGTAGTTATTTCCACTATTTTATCTTCCAGGTCCCTTATCCGTTCTACAGCCTCAGTTATTCAGTTACTGATTCCTTCTAGAGAATTTTTAATTTCACTTATTGTATTGTTCATCATTGTTTGTTTGCTTTTTAGTTCTCCTAGGTCCTTGTTAAACGTTTCTTGTATTTTCTCTGTTTCCAAGATTTTGGATCATCTTTACTATCATTACTCTGAATTTTTTTTCAGGTAGACTTCCTATTTCCTCTTCATTTGTTTCGTCTGGTGGACTTTTACTTTGCTCCTTCGTCTGCTGCATATTTCTCTGTCTTCTCATTTTGCTTAACTTACTGTGTTTGGGGTCTCCTTTTCACAGGCTGCAGGTTCGTTGTTCCTGTTGTTTTTGGTGTCTGCCCCCAGTGGGTGAGGTTGGGTCAGTGGCTTTTGTAGGCTTCCTGATGGAGGGGACTGGTGCCTGTGTTCTGGTGGGTGGGGCTGAATCTTGTCTTTCTGGTGGATGGGGCTGCATGTGGCAGTGTGTTTTGCGGTGTCTGTGAACTTAGAATGACTTTAGGCAGCCTCTCTGCTAATGGGTGGGGCTGTGTTCCTGTCTTGCTAGTTGTTTGGCATGAAGCATCCAGCACTGGAGCTTGCTGGCTGTTAAGTGGAGCTGGGTCTTAGTGTTGAGACGAAGATCTCTGGGAGAGCTCTCACCAATTGATATTACATGGGGCTGAGAGGTCTTTGGTGGTACAATGTCCTGAACTCGGCTCTCCCACCTTGGAGGCTCAGGCCTGACACCAGGCCAGAGCACCAAGACCCTGTCAGCCACACAGGATGTAAATTAACTGAGTGTGTACTACATCTTCTACCAAAACTGCCATTTCATGAAGAGGCCTCCTAGAATCACCTAGAGAAAACCACCTATGTTTTCTTAAAGGAGTTTTTTTATTTTCTTTTCTTATAGGAGTTTTATGGTTTCAGGTCTATGTTCAAGTTTTTAATCTGTAAGCAAAAACATCATACTCTGCAATTCTGCTGCAAAGCTTATAGACTTCCCTGTACTTCTTCCACTACTTGAAGTGGCAGTAGACATTGGGCTGGCTGCAGTATTATTCATCTGTGGCTTAAATGGACAGGTACTTGCTGGCTTTATTCCAGATAGCTCATCTCTGCTCTAAGAATACTTGTAGACCTGGCTGCACGTCCCGCACGGAGAATGTGCGGGTAGAGATGGTGCGGTTTTGGCGGCGGTGGCCCGGGACATGCTTGGAAAGGGGCGGGTGGGGGGCTGAGAGTGTCTAAAGGGAAAGGGTGGCTGGGCACAGACGGTGGGGGCAAGATGGCACAAGCCTGACTCTCTCTAGATGTTCTACTCTTATTGAATCAGTTTTCAAACTTTAATAGAAAACTACAAGTTTTGTTAATGTTTTCATATTTATTAGCATATATTTTGAATTGCATACACTTTTAAGAAATAACTTTGTATCTATTCTTGTTTTTACTTGTGTTTTTTTCCCTCTTTTTCTATTAGATTTAGTGGAGTTATATTTTATCAGTTCTTTTCACTGTACTTGTTTGCAGACATATTGATATCATTTGTGCTTTTATCTTTATTACTTCCTCTATTTTTCTCTTAGAATTTTATCCTCTGCCTATATATCTTATATTTTATGCTGATTTTTCCATTCTTTTCTGATAATAAAAATATTAAAAATTATGCACTTTCCCATAAAGTACTACTGTGGCTGTATAATATATCCCAATATAAAGTACTTCACAACAACAACAACAAAAAATGCAAAAAAACCAAGAAAACAGATTTTTCTTTCATTTCCCTCACCATTTTAACATGTTTAGTAATATTTCTATTACTGAACAACATCAATAAAAATGACTTATCAAAATGTGATTTTCTATTATGATATAACCGGACATATGAAGCTCATTGATGTATCACTGTAAGGTTGTTGCCGACTCATTATGTTATATACAGTGAATATACACATAGTGTACTTTCTGAGTACAGTTCTAGCATTACTTCTCCTTACCAGCTGCTTGTTTTTAATTTATGACCATGGCATCATGGAACCAATTGTTTTCTGTCTTCTCATTGGTTTCTGGAAGGTTTTAAGACAGCTGCGTACACTTCTTGTATACATATAGGATCACAGATGCGCTTTTTATTTATTATCCTAATTCCTGGTGTCACCATTTTCTTTCCTACTCTCATTTCCTTTTGTCCCATTTTATTCATACACTTTTTTTTTTGGCCACACCATGCAGCTTGTGGGATCTCTGTTCCCCGATCAGGGATTGAACCCGGGCCACGGCAGTGAAAGCACCAAATCCTAACCACTGGACCACCAGGGAACTCCCCATCCACTTATTTTAAATTTTATTTTATCTTGTTGCATTTTATACGTTTAAGTAAGCTAGTTTGTATTCCTTCTGGAATAAGATGGGTATAAAATAAATACAATTTACAAAATTAAGAAAGTGACATTCTGGACTTTTCTGGAGTATAAAGTAGCTGATTTATGTAAGTAGGCTTAAAAAAACACTCTGCTATTAAAGATGGGCAAAATCATGGTCCCAGTGCCAAGAAAAATCAATTCAACATGAAAGGCAACTCAAAGCAGTCAGAAAATTCTTTGCCATATCTGTGTTTCCTTTGGAAGGTGATGGAGGTGGCCTTCTCCACTGCTGAGATTCCCCACCATGCCGCCATACACCCCTGCCTCCTGGCTCAGAACAAGGCTGACCTGCCTACATTCCCAGAATGGAGTTACCTTTAAAAATTCTTTGAAGTCTGCGTGTTCATCTGTCTTCTGCTGTAAAAGAGCTGCTCCATTCAGCTGACAGCTGCAGAACCGGATGTAAGCCTGCATGTGGGACAGCTCAGCTGCCAGGATGTCCCCAATCATCTGCACGGGCATCTTCTCACCCCCGGTCTTCTTCCGTACTCGCAAGGCCCTGCAACCAACACACACTCTCACTTCCCATTTCTAACTGAATGTGCTTCGCAAATGAAGGATGAATACCTTGTGAGACTAACGGTAATGACAACCAGTGAGTTACCTAAAAAGCTCTGGCACCGTGAGGGAAAAGTCAGGAGGAGGAGGCAGCGAGGGCTTAAAGCCCTGCCCGCCCAGCCAACCTGGGTGAGCTGCTAGAAAGAAGAAGAAAATGAAGTGTGTGTACTTGGGTGTTCCTAGGTCTCTGGAATTGTTTTGGATTCAGCTTAGTATCTTAGCAAAGTTCCTTTTGAAAATTTTTTAACTTGTTTTCAGTTGAACCAAGAAGAAAGAAATTTCCACCCTCTGTAAGGGAAAAAAGGGAGCAGGAGCCCACAGAGGCCACGTGTGGAGGCGGCATCGCTCCCAGAAAGCTGCTGAGCCCCAAGGAGGGCAGAGAGGCAGCAAGCGCTGGGACTGCTCATGCCTGCCCACAGGAGCCTGTCCTCACAGGCGTAAGGGACAGAAAATCACCACAGGCCACGGAATTTCACACTGGACTTAGGAGAGTGCCAGACCAGCCAGTTATGTCTAGGCCATGAGCTGCAGCTTCTCTCCTGACTCTATCTGATGCAGAGTCAAGTATATTTTGGAACCATATGTTGATATATTGTTTGTTTAATGATTTAATTTTTCCTTTGCTTAATCAAATATTTTCTTTGTTATATTTCTTTACTTCAATAATTATGCATTTCAGAGTTAGAGAGCATTTCATAAAATGATGATAAAATTAAAAGGCTGAGGGAGGGACTTCCCTGGTGGTGACGTGGTCAAGAATCCACCTGCCAATGCAGGGGACATGGGTTTGAGCCCTGGTCCAGGAAGATCCCACATGCCACGGAGCAACTAAGCCCACGCGCCACAACTACTGAGCCTGTGCTCTAGAGCCCATGACCCACAACTATTAAGCCCGTGCACCGCAACTACTGAAGCCCGCGCGCCTAGAGCCCAGGCTCTGCAGCAGGAGAAGCCACTGCAATGAGAAGCCCGTGCACCGCAATGAAGAGCAGCCCCTGCTCTCGGCAACTAGAGAAAGCCCGTGCGCAGCAACCAAGACCCAACGCAGCCAAAAATAAAAGAAATAAATTTATATTTTTTAAAAAAAGCCCGAGGGAATAGAAAACAGTGAAAGTTCTTTGCTAAGCAGCCCTGGCTGCAGAGAGTTAGGTATGAGTCTCAGCCCTGGGGCTGGGGGCGTCTGCTGCAACGACAGGTGATGCTCACGACTCACTTCAGCAGCTTCGTGTTCGACATGATGAGCTCCTTCCAGTTAACAAAGATCAAGGCCGTTTCTCCTTCAGTGAGAAAACCTGGTTCTGCCATTCGTTTCTGAAAAACCTAAATTCAGAACACAAGGGAAAGAAGTCAGCTCAAGTGCAGTACACAGGCTGTGTGGTCTAAATAACACATTATCTTCAGGGTGGCCCAGTGGTTGAGAGTCTGCCTGCCGATGCAGGGGACACGGGTTCGTGCCCCGGTCCAGGAGGATCCCACATGCCGCGGAGCGGCTGGGCCCGTGAGCCATGGCCGCTGAGCCTGTGCGTCCGGAGCCTGTGCTCTGCAACGGGAGAGGCCACAGCAGTGAGAGGCCCGCGTACCGCAAAAAACAAAACAAAACAAAACATTATCTTCATACACTAAACTAGGAAGATCATGGCACTTTTAAATAAACATATTGTGACTGTTAAACTTTAAATTGCAAAATTTCCCCACTTTTTGCTATTTTGTCTCCTATCAGGGCTGATTTTAAGGACTGAATCCAGCAGTCTCATCAAGAAGAGGAGATTCTCATACCTACCTCCTCAGGGTGTTACACAGGTTAAATAAACCATGGGCATAAAGCACCCACACACTGGAAGAGCCTGCAGAACTGAGGGAGCATGACCGTTGTCAGGCTGAGCACCTCAGGGGTCTGGAAGCAGTTTGTGAGAAGTGCACCAGAAGAAAGAGTGATGCCTTATCCTATCCTCAAGACTGGCCACCAAGCACATGTGGATTTCAGGGGTTAAATGATAACACTTTGGTAATCCGTAGCACTTAAGGTTTCACAAAGTTTTGATATGCACATACTTACATGTGCTTGTGTGTGCGTACATGCACACGTGTGTGTGTGGGTTTCTCAATTAATTTCATAGATGATGTAGGTCATGCTGAGTCAGGTATTATTATTCCCAATTGACCCACGAAGAAATAAAAGCTGAGAGTAATTTGCTCAAGGTCACAAAGCTAGAACGTGGAGGAGCCAGAACTAAAACAACTTTTTGATTCTAAGTTCAAGTTTCCACTAAACAACTAGGGAATGACTTTAAAAGCCTTAAGGAAATGGTGAAGTCATCTGAGACAACTCTTCTCACGTGAAATCTCTCCAAAATACACATGACATTACCCTCCATTGAAACTGTTCTAAATTAATGTTTACTTACTGCACTGAATTGAACCTGGATTCAGAGAACTCAGATAAAAGAGCTATGAACTAACGTCTCTAAACCTCTACGGTTCCAGAATCAGACTGAAGATGTCTGGACACCCCTGTAAGAGAGAGCCCTGGAAACAAGGTCGACCTGCTCTGAGGCTGCTCCTGGAGGACAGCGAAAGCGTCTGATGTCGGTTCTTTCACTCGCTGATTAATTGAGGTTACTGTTTATTCGTTCTATCTGCCTGCTTTGTGCCAGCCTCAGCGAGGTAAGCAGAGCATGAGATGGCTGGGTCCTCTGGGGCCCTCCACGGCAACGGTAATGAGAAGCCCTTGCCTGTGGGAAGTGCTTTTTCCCCTAACCCCCTGACCCCAACATGATGCCTCACCCCTCAGAGTGTCTTGTGAGGTGCGCTGAGTGAGAATAACCAAGCCCACGTGGTTAAGAGGCTGGCCTGAGATGGGGAAAGCACCTGGCCCCCGTTCACCTTCTGTGCTAGTCAGAGCGGTTCTCCACACCCATTTACAACCACTTAGGACTGGAATCTGACCGGCAGCAGGGCTGACACTTGTAGGGGTTAATCAAAAAGATGGGCTTTTCTTACAGGCCATCCATCCTGGTGAGAGAAGTGCAGACAGACATAAACACACCTAGCCACACATAAATTCAGTCCTGTAGGGAAGGCCTGTAAAGGGCCAGGCTACGTTTGGGGTGTAGGACGAAGGACACACAGTCTCTGCCCTCAGGAGCTCACAGCCTGGGGGAAGATAGACGTTATCAACCGAGAAGTGCAGGACACTGAACGTCTGAGAGGAGCAAGTGTGCCATGTCTGAGATCCCAGCCCAAATTCAGGGGAGAGAATGAATCGGGGAAAGGCCTTGCTGGGGCAGATGCAGGACTCAGCTTCTGCACCGTGTGTTCTCAAGGTCACGACCACGTAAACAGTGCACCTGTTGGGCCTGAGTGGGGACACCTGTTCTCTTTAAGTTTTTTTTTAAACTGGTCTCATCTGAGGGCCTTGACAAATTTTTGTGGGAACTGAAAGCCATGGAAACAAAAGCATAATAAAAGTATAAAATCTTACTTTGCTCAAACGCGAACCATTTAAAAGTGCCACTCTAACGGCCGTTGTCTGCTTCAGGGTTGCTGGCAACATTAATAGTCACAACACAGTAAATATATGAGATTTGGGAGCTATTTTACAGTACACTGTTTGGTTTTCCGAACTGACATAAAGGTTAAGTGAACACCCCCACTGCCTCACAATTCCTCTGGGAATCATTAAACTTTATGAAAGCGTCAGGTGCCAGAAGAGCGGTGCAGACATTGTCAGAGAAAAGTCTGAGGCAGATACGTTTGCTGGAGAGCCTTCCCACCTACTCCGTACCCTGGTCTTTCCTGACGGGGCCTCTACCACATCCGACTGAGGCACTGAGTGCCTTTTCTCTCTCTCTTCACTCTGAATTACCTAATCTGGAGAAAGAGCCGACTTGAGATCTTCAGGGCCTCTCCAAGGGTCAGAGGAAGCATTCTGAGGGTGTGAGCACTCCCGTCACTGCCTGAGAATTCACTCGTCAAAGGTGATACCTCGCTATGAGGCCCCACCCCCTGAGCAACCGGCGGCGCCCGCGGCGCCCTCACCTCCACGACGAGCTGAAGGTCATCCACGTACCGCTCCTCAGTCTCCATCAGCTCATGGATGTAGCCCTGCCTTTTCCTCTCCACTGGCTGCATGGTGTCCAGGGTTTGGAGATCTGCACACCCTGTGGAAAAGCAGGCTAGAGTTTCAAAATATTATTTTATCTTCTTCGGAGAAAACAGACATGAACCGTCAGATACACGGGGTTTGCAAGTGTTGCCGGGAAAAAACCACGTGGCCTGCCAAAGGGCCCTGGGACTTGGGCGAACAGCGCACACCTGCGGAAGCGGGATTAACCACTGGCCACTCCAGAGCACCAGAGCCGCAAATTAGCAACACCTGTAACTGGCTGCAACGCCTGCAATGCTCGGTATGGTCCCAATTTCTTTTCCAAATAAGTAATGACAGAATGAAGGATTTTCAGAAATGGCCTCAAAGAAACCAGAACTGTGCGGAGGGAGCCCTGTGAAGAAACTATGCTATTCTCACCATCCTGAGACATGTTCAAAGCACTGTAATGATTAAGTGACTCAAATGCTGGAGACCAGTGTTTTCCAAACTGCAGGTCATGAGCTATTGGTGGGCCATTCTATCGATTTTTTAAAACAAAAACAAAACAAAATAAATAACTACCACGTGCACAGGATCTGTCAGTATTGTACTGTGAAAATTTTTAGTTAGGTATGTATTTGAGGATGTAAAATGTATTTCTTGCTGTGAGCCACTGTTTAAAAAATGTTTGAGAAACACTTCTCTAGATTTCTCAAAGTTAAGTGCTCAGCTAGGAAACCTGAAGTCTCCAGGGCCCAGCAGTTCCCAGCAAGAGCACTGTCTTAACCCACTGGAACAAAGAACTGGTGGTATGGGGTACACTGCAGCCACGGGGGCTTTGAGGGCAGTCCCCAGCCATCTCGCATGGCATCAGAGTGAGAAGTACCATAGTCACTTCGGATCAATGTACAGGCACATGGGAGCTGAGCTCACTGTCACACTGGGAAGTGACGTTAACCCAGAGTCATTCAATAAGAAGCTGAGGGCCTGCCGAAGGCCCAGTGGGAGGGGAAACGCCTCAGAAAGCCCTTCCTCAGGCAAAAGGAAAAAGCAGGTAGGTGCCCAGCAAGGGACAACATGAGGCGGTAGCAGTGCACGTCCAAAGCGGGAGAGATGGGGAGGCAACATGAAGGTCTGGGGAGCAGAGGACACAGGAGCAGGGCCGGCCCTGCGGGGCCTCCGCAGCCCACAGTGTTCGGACCGAGGCAGACGCCCTGCACGGGGACAAAGGCGCAGAGCCACAGAGGCGGAAAACGCCAGGATCAGACTGGCCTTTTAAGTGGGGGCTTCTCTTCGTGACTGTTTTTGATTTTTTATGTATTTTGTATAGATTTGGGCTTTCAGAGAGTCCTCACGAAGACAACTGTTCTATTTTCTGCACATGCTGCCGACAGCTTTAAAAAAAATTACTCCCACAGTCAAACAAAAATTGAATAAGGCAAAAGTCACGTTTGGTGCTACCAAGATGAAATTGCAGTGCCACTCATGTTCAGACTTATCCAGCTTTTCTGGGGACTGTGTTCCGTCCTGTTCTGCCAAGGAGACCTGCAGGAATGAGCGAGAGCTAGGGATGAGCAAGGCTAACACAGGCCCCTGCCTGACCCGGCTGTGTGCAGCCAGGCGGCTGGATGCCGAGGCCGACGCCTGATGGGGAATGTTGCTGACCACGTGGCCATCCAGCTGACGCTGGTGGGGCAATCGCAGCAGTCTCTAAGGTTGCCCTAGCTCTTTGCTAGTGGTTTACAAATCTCGGTCCTTCACATTCGGCCACATCCACATAGTATCTCTACTATTATTTATGTAATATTTTTTTTCATGTTTGAGCTAAATGTCTATGAAATCATGGGTTTGATGTGATGGTTATGTTTCTTCTAATAGTAACTACCATAAACATATAACTATTAAAATAATTCGAGTCCTCCTGGGCACTATTTTGTGGGCCATTGTGTTGTGCACCACCGGGATATCACACTTTGGGAATCGATGACTGATGTTAAAACCCACAAGTATTGGCCTATCTATTCAGTATCTTGGGATAATAGGAAAAGTCTCAGGTAGTTTATCGTTTCTAAGGCTGGGACGTACACGACATTAGCTTCATCAGGATGAATGTGGGACAATCCTTGTACTCCAACCCTAGCTGACACCTCTGCATTTCATTACAATGGTTCTTAAATTTTTATTCTCCAAGTTTCCAACTTGACCCCTATCCCCACTTTCAGATGCTCTCACCTCTGACATCAGGGGAAAAAAAATAAAGGCATGATGCCCCTTCTACTTCCAGCCCCATCTTCCTGCTCACTCATCCCTGTACTTCCTTCCCGTGTCAGGGGGTGAGGGGATCCTACTTCTTCTAAAGCCAGCATCCCTAACCCGCCCCCTCCTGCAGGACACTTCCCTGCCCTTCACACTTCCATCTTCAGTCTTCACTGGTCCCTCTAGTCCATGAACATGGTTATGTGTCCCTCCTACCACAATATGTAAAATAAACAAGCACCCTTCCTGCAACCCTGCTCCCTCCACAAACACCTGTCTCTAGTCTCACTGCCAAATGTCTGACAGTAGAGGGGTCTGACACTCATTCCCCCCGCCCACAGCTCTCTCTGTCACTTCTCCAACTTCAGATACTCTGGTTTCTCTCCCACCACTCCACTGACACTGCTCTTGTGAAGGTAATGATGACCTTGAGCATCACCAAATGCAGAGACCCCCTTGGGAGCTGGCGTCCTCCTGCACCTGCCCAGAGCCCTGACACCTGTGATGAGCTGCTGCTTCCAACACTCGAGTCTCTCCCTCAGCCTCTGTCACCCTCTTCTTCCTGGTGTTTCCTTCTGCATTTCTGCCTCTGCCTGCCTCCAGGCCCTCTGGTCCCCCCAATCCAGCAAATACTATAATGTGTTCCTGGCATTCCTGACCTGCAAGGTCAAACGAATCTGGCTTTGCATTTCTCTGCCAGGGTCACAAGGCACATCCGCATACTATCCTCTGAGCAACCCTGCTCTAAAGAAACATTTAATTTGAGTGAACCCAGAGTTCCCAACACTTATTTGACCATAGAACCCTCTGTTTTGAGAGGAGAGTGAATCTTTTGCGAACTGAGGAATTAGGGTTTGTGGATAGAATACACCCCTCTGCCATCCTCTACACCTGCACTGTCCAATACAGCAGCCATTAGCGACATGTGACTACTGAGCACCTGAACCACGGCCAGTCTAAACAGAGAAGAGCTGTAAGTGTAAAATATACACCGGATTTCAAAGACCCAGTAGAAGCATCCTAGAATGTAAAATAATGCATCAGTACAAAAATTATTACACCGATTACACCTTGAAATGATAATATTTTGGATAAGGCTGGGTTAAGTAAAACTAATTCTTAAAATTAATTCCATCTGTTTCTTTTTACTTTTTAAAATGTAGCTGCTGGAAAATTTTAAATTACATATGGGCTTGTATTTGTGACTTACATTATATTTATATTGAACAGCTCAAGCCAGCCTCTACATTTTTTATCATGTTCTTTTCCTGACAGAATGTTCAATGACTTCTGTTTTTTGCAGAATGAAGTCCTAGCACGGGGGGAGCACAGGGCTCCAGAGTCTCCGTAATGCAGCAGCAGCCTGCCTCTGACCATGCGGTCCACCTTCTACCCACCCTGGCCTGGGCTCGGTCCTCGTGATGTGCTGTACTAACTGTCCACGGCCTGGCTGTTTCCACTCCTGTTGTTGCCTCTGTCCATGGCCCTTCTCTGCACAGAAGCCATCTCACTACCCCTTCAGGGTGCAGCTCACATGATCCTACTCTGGGGAAACCTTTTCCATCCCCGTCCCCAGACTGGCTCTCCTTCGTGTTTTCATGGTACTGGCTTGCATCTATATTTTAAATACTTCCCACAATGTAATGTGTATTGTAGTTCTTCTGTATATAGTTACTATGTCCTTCTCTCCCAGTGGAGGTTAGGGACTGTGTCTAACACAGTCCATAATACCACACTTAGCCATGTTTTGACCACCGAGGTCAGGAAATATTTGTTGAGTAGAAGACTATTGTGTTGTCCCCAGACCCATTTCTCACCTTTCCCCTGCTCTGCTCCATACTGCAAGGAGGCCAACCTCTAAGGCTACTTTTGTAAGCTCTTTTCTTAGTTGACTTCTGCCTGGGCTTGGCTAATGGGAGGAGACTGAAGACTACAGGGTGGACTAGGGAAAGAGTCCTCCTGCCAGAATGGTGAGATGCCAAGAAAGCATTTAGTCCCTGCTGGGTAAAGAACAGAAATGCTGGGGCTGCATCTCACATAAATTTGGAGTTCAAGAATTCCACAACTGATGAATTAACACAAAAATTGGTCCCTGGCTGGTGATAACTTCAGGGTGCTTGGCCAAAGAAAATGTACAACTGGTCTGGAGGGTCACTCTCACAACCTTGGTTCCACAGGATTTACAAAGAAAAACTAAGTCTCGCTAAAGATGAGTTCAAAGTAAAAAATTACAAAAAACAAGGAACAATCCACCATTCATAAAAAACTGAGGATTAGAGCAAAAGGAGATGTAAAATATATATGTTTAAAATAGCTTGAGACATATATGAAGGATTTGAAACCCTAATTAGAGTCTAAAAAACCCAACAGGAAGATTTGAAACAGAAACAAATAAAAAGGTAAATATTATCAAGGAAATAATAAATTAATAGATGAGGCAGCAGATCAAACACATTGGAGGAAACAATTAGTAAATCTGAAAACAGAGCTGAAGAAATTACTTAGAATGCAGCTCAGAAAGACAAAAAGATGGAAAACATAAAATGAAAGCTAAAAGATACAGAGGATGGAATGACAAGGCCCAACATACATCTAATGGGAGTCTAGGAGGGGAGAACAGAAAGAAAGGGAAGGGGTAATAACTGAGATTATAATGGCTGAGAATTTTCTAGAGTTGATGAAAGACATAACTCCACAGATTCAGGAGGAAAAATGATTCCTGATTAGGGAAAAAAATAAAAATAAACCCATACCTAGACTGTAAAACACCAAGGAAGAAAAAATTTGTTGAAATAGTAAGAAAGAAAGAGCAGAATA